CCGAGTGTGAAGCGGCTGGGATGAGAATCAGCACCTCCAAATCCAAGGCCATGGTTCTCAGTCGGAAAAGGGTGGCTTGTTCCCTTCAGGTTGGTTCGTCGTGGTGAAGAAGGAGCTGAGCTGTAAGGCGAAGCTCTCGATTTACTGGTCAGTAAAAGCGGAGGAGCTGAAGGAAGTGTCTCAAGAGAGGGAAGTCTGGGCATCTTTGCTTAGACTGCTGCCCCCGCGACCCGGTCTCGGATAAGCGGAGGAAAATGGATGGATGGATGGACTATTGGGATGTGAGCTCAAGGATAGGACATGAATTCAAGAGGTGTCTTTATTCTGTTCTGATTCACCTCCATACCTGTTGCTCTAACTTTTTACCTCTCTGTCTATACCTGTCTACCTCTTGGTCTCTGTAGGTGCTGAACCCTCTTCTGTTTCAGTCTCAGCCATCTCATTCTCTTCAAGTTCGCTTGGCCAGTTGTCGAATTCTAGGAAAAGTCACCTGCAAGTTTGATTCTCACATGTGAGCTATTGCAAAATAGTTTTCAAAAAAGTATTGATCGTATACAGCTAATGGTATATATTTTTGAGCCTGGTGTGTTGTCATACCTGGTCTGACACTGACAGGTGTGTTTCCTGTGTATTAGAGTGAAGAAAGAGCTGCTGCCATTGGTTCGGTCCTTATGTCAGGATGTGGAGTATGAGGTCCGAGGCTGTATGTGCCGTCAGCTGGAGAGCATCGCCAGGGCGACCGGGTAATCACCAAGCAAATGCCAACCAAACACAAACCAAATGCAAACCAAATAATCACTTGTCTCCTTCAGGGTGGACGACACCAGGACAGAGCTCCTTCCTGAGCTGGTGGAGCTCGCTGAAGATGAGGATAGCAGTGTCCGTCTTGCAGCCTTTGATACCATCATCAACCTTATGGATATGATGGACAATGGTGAGTCAGCAGGTGGAGCTTTGTTCAGAGACCCCTCTGAAAGCGCTCAGTTTAAAGCCCCCTCCTCTATGTAAAAGCCATGTTTAAAATCCCCTCCTCTCTCAGATGATAGACTCCATGTGGTGGTTCCTCTGGTGATGTCGGTGTGCGAAGCATCATTGCAAGGGGATGAAGCCATTCAGGCATCTTTATCATTCCAGTTTGGAAAACTCTGCACTGGACTGACAGGTGAGCCTCAATCACACAGTAGAAACTATGGAAGTGAATCCCTGCCAATATGTTTGAAAGTGCAAAAACCACATAGAGAGCTGCTCAGCTTGCAATTCAGGATTTGAGAGTGTACATGCACAGATTTGTACACACAGAATCAGATTTCAGAGGCTGTGCTTGCTGCTCACTCAAATCATCTGTTACACTCAAAATTCTCTCCTCCATCAGTCTCAAATTTGGTTCTGCTCTTACAAATTCATGCTTTGTCATTTAACTACTTTGCTGGTCCAGGACTGTACATAAGAACCCCTGTGTTTGAATATACACTGCATGTACAATTATCAGGCAAGTGTGTATTTTGACCATTTTGTTATTTCTATACATGGTTTGCAACCCCAAGTTATATAAACTTGAATGCTTTCTGGATTTAAGGTGAATTCTCAGAGTACATGTATTTGTGTAATGAGGGAGAGTATGGCCTAAAGAGATTAACACCCTACCTGAAGGTGTGAAGAATTATTAGGCAGCTTCTTTACCTCAGGCAAAGTGGGCCAAAGAGATTTAACTGACACTGAAAAGTCAAAAATTGTAAAAATGCCTTTCAGAGGGATGCAACTCTTTTGAAATAGCTAAACAACTGAGGCGTCACCAGACTACCAAATGTTTTGTTGCAAATAGTCAACAGTGTCACAGAAAACATGGAAAAGACACAAATTAACTGCTAAAGACTTGAGAATAATTAAATGTGAAGTGACCAGGAACCCATTATCCCCCAGTGCCATTATATTCCAGAACTCCAACTTACCTGGGGTGTCCACAAGTACTAGGTATTCAGTGCTCAGAGACATGACCAAGTTAAGAAAGGCTGAAACGGGACCACCACTGAACAAGACTCACAAGCTGAAATGTGAAGACTGGGCCAAAAAATATTAGAAGGTTTTAACCCTAGGTTTTATAGACAGATGAAATGAGATTGACTGTCAGTGGACCAGATGGATGGTCCCGTGGCTGGATCACTAATGGACACATGGCACCACTTTGACTCAGACAACAGCAAAGTGGAGGAGGGGTAATGGTATGAGCTGCTATTATTATAGTCCACCAGGTGGACCTTTTTGGGTTGAAGATGGACTTAAAATCAACTCCCAAACCTACTGCCAGTTTCTAGAAGATACTTTCTTCAAGCAGTGATACAGGAAAAAGTCAGATTCAGGAGGACCGATGTGGATTCTCTCCGGGTCCCGTATCAGTGGACAGGCTGTTTACTCCTGCAGGGATCCTGGAGGGGTCATAGGACTTTGTCCATATCTACAAGTATTTTGTGGACTTGGAGTAGGTTTATGGAGCATGTCCCCCAGGGATCATGAAGATGATACTGTGGGAGCCTGGGATACTGACAAACTACAAGTCTTTGTGTAACCAGAATTAGAGCTGAGCCTCAGAGAGCGCTGGACTACACCAGGTTTATTCCTCTCACCAATTTAGTTTGTGGTTTTCATGAACAGGATCTGAAGGTCTAGTTGCAGTGTGGTGAGTTGGAGTGGTGACATCATGGTGTTTGTCGTTGTGCTTCAGGCTCTCTGTCAGATGAGCAGAAGGGTCGGTTGCTACACAGGTTTAAGGCACTGTGTGTCACTGGTCTGCAGACTGAAGGAAACCAGACTGATGGCAACAATGAATCAACGCTGACCCGCTGCAACTGCTGCTACAACTTACCGGTATAGCCGCTCGCACACTCAGCAGAGCATCAGAGTTCAGTTCAATCTTCAGTCTTTCAGAAAGTTCATATCACTCTTCTTTCTCTCTCTTCAGGACATGGTGGTGTTTGCTGACTCAGCCCACTTCCTGTCAGAGCTCTACTCATCCTTCTCCAGCCTCTGTTGTGACCCAGAGGTCAGCGTTCGACAAAGTGCTGCAGCCAGTTTCCACCAGGTCAGGCAATGTTGTATTGCATCTATAACATCCTGATGTATCTGTTCTGTACAGTTGCGCAGCTGAACACGTAAAGTTTGTCCTGATGGTGGTGCTAAAGGAAAGATAGTCTTTAAAATCTGAAGATTCATCCCACGAAACACACAGGCAAACCATTCTTAGGTTCTGCTTCTCCTTGATGAAATACAGCCACAAAATTCAACAGACAGGAGATGAAAGAAAGCTTCCAATTATTTGAATGTTTGATTTCCCTGGCTGCTGACTTGCAGATGTGTGGATATTAAAAACACTGTTCTGTACATCAATCTATGGTTTGTAAGAAAATTTGTTTTTTCTGATGTCACATGATGGCTCCTCATCTTTCGATTGACCCTTCCCCGCCCATCAGGTGGTGAAACTGCTCGGTTCAAATGTCCATGTGGTCCACAAAGAGCTTCTAGCTCTGCTGCATGATGACGCTCTGGAGGTGAGAGTCCACACCAACACTACTCTACCAACCAGGAGGCAAGGAAACATTTTTAAAAACTTCCCTTGAGGACATGGTTTGAAAACCCAAATAGCAAACTACGAGTGGCAAAATAATAAGTAGTGAGCTTTTGTTTCAGCCATGTATTTGTTACATTTTGTAATTATTACTTTTAATAATCTGTAGCTAACAAGCCTGTGAGTCTATCCTTTATTGATTATTTTATGCTGTTAGCTTTGGAAGGTTTTGTTGCTCGAGTCAGGTGCTTTTGTATTTCAGCTGTTAGTTTTACATGCACTGAAGCTCTTGTTGTTGTTGAGGTGTTGGATGCTTTAATGAATCACCTGGAGGAAACTCTGGAGGTGGTTCTGTCCAGAGAAGAAAACCTGACACTGGACAACAAGGTGAGAAAACAAACCTTCAACACTAAAATTAGTGGCTTCTTCATGCTCTCCTGATCTCCGTTTCCTCCTCATCAGTTCCCGGAGCTGCTGTCGGCTTTGTTGTTGGCAGAGCAGAAGGTCGGATGTACTCTGCGTTGGCGGCTGCATGAAAAGCTGCTGCAGCGTTACAGCTGCCTGGCCAGACTGCTGCCTGGAGAAGTGTTGCACCAAAGCTTTACCCCTCGCATCTTCGTCATCCTCACCACCAATGTCAGCACAATAAAACACAACAATAGATAACACAAAAAACAGTTAAACCAGGTGACCAAGTAACCTCTCTTATGGTTGTTGGTTGCAGAAAGTTTTACCAGTTCAGAAGGAGGCAGCTCGAACCTTCTGCATGTTTCTCCGCTACAATCGCAAACAGGAGCAGCGTCAGGATATGATGGAGCGACTGATCCAAGGTCAGAACCCACTGGTTCTTCAATCCCAGGTGCTCTGAGTAGGCCACATATAAACAGGTGACCTCACGTACCTCAGTGTGATGTTTTTTGAAAGCTTTTTCAAATCCATCACAAACTCCCAAAAGTAGGGCTGGGCAGGGCTGGGTATCATTCCAAAATATTTGATATACGTAGGTACCGATACCCAGTTCCTAAACAACATTTTTGATACCAATTTTGGTACAATCAATAAAAAAAAAAATATACGTACAGTGTTGAAGGCCACGATGTCCTAACCCCTGGACATAGGAATAAAGCTTAACCTCTCCAACTAAGGTGGCATAATTGAAACATGTTAAAGCTCCAAGCACTGCTTGAGGTTTTCTGGTGGAGATATTCACTCAGTAACAGACTACCATGAAGCTGAGAACAGAGTTCTCAGCTTCATGGTAGTCTGCTCTGCAGACCTACATTTTTGTACAAATCATTTATATTTTGCAATTCGTCGTCCCTGGTAGGCTAGTGGTTAAGGCGCAGCAGCGAGAGTGCTGCGCCCTGGGTTCGAATCAGGGTTGTGTCAGGAAGGGTATCCGGTGTAAAACACGGGCCAAATATCAACATGCGAGTCGTCAGTGTGACGATTCGCTGTGGCGACCCCTAAACGGGAAAAGCCGAAAGTGACTTTCTTTCTATTTATATTTTGCACTTCCTTGGCATTTTGTGCACTCAAAGCAGTTTCATAACAAAAAGTAAACCCATTTACCACAGCCCTAAGTTCTGTTAACATTAACATCCTTAAATAAAAATGTCAAAAAGCACTTTTTGAAGTAATTCAATTGATTCCGTAAAAGCGTCTAAGCGCGACACACAGCACTACCAGAAAGTAAAGGGACAGCTGCAGTCAGATGTAACTCGGTATCTGTTCTGTGTCTGTCAAATACTGAACAAACATGAGAAGACTTTTCATAGGATGTCAAACTGATTGTTGATGGTTCATCTCAGGGTGTTTCTGACTGACCCTTAGATCTGGCTCAGGGTCGGAGCTACTGGAACCGTCTGAGGTTCCTTGACGTTTGTGAAACGGCCATTGAGATTTTCTCCAGAAAATATTTCAACAAGCACTTCCTGATTCCGGCGCTGGAGCTGGTCCACGACCCCGTTGCCAATGTCAGGTAGCTCTGTCCACTCTCAGGCAAGTAATATCCATCTTCTCAACACCAGATCTAACACACCTGTCTACCTGTCAGGTACAAGCTGTGCCAGTTGTTGCCCAGGTTACATATGTCACTCCGCCTGCCGGCTGATAAACAGCTGCTGCAGCAACTTGACTTTTGCATCCAGAAACTTCTCTGCAGAGAGAAAGACAAGGACGTAGTGGCAACAATCCGCAAGGTAACATTTTTACTACCAGAAACCAGTTCAGACCCACTGTAAGAGGACTCTGTGGGTCTGAGATGAACCTAGTTTATAGAGTTTATAGTTTAAAAAGAACTTGTTTATATTGGCCTTGATGGATGAAAATGATTAATGATGGATTAATTGTGTTCATTATTGTTTTCAGATAGTGTTGGAATTGGATAAACTGGACCCCACAGAGCTGGTAACCAATGCATTTAATAAAAACATGAACTGAAGAATAACTCATTTTGTTTCTGTTCTGTAACTTGGTATCTGTTGTTACTCTCAGAAGAGGCAGGAGAGGGATTTATTGGACCAGAAGAAGGAGAAGGAGGAGACTCTGCTGCTGGAGATGGTTAGTATGAACCTGCTCATCTTCAATCCGAATCACTTCCTGTTTTGCTTTAATGGCATCTCCTCTGTTATCAGGAACTGCTGGAGCGGCAACAGAATGAAGGCAAACTAAACTCTGAGAAACATACAGAAAGAAAACGTGAGCTAAACCATCCTGTTTTATTTTTGCATCAAAGGTCTCACGGGGGGTCTGGTTTATGAGGATTTGTGTTTTGGTAACTTGGATTACTGTGTTCCATCTTTCTCTGTCAGGGAGGGACAGTAAAACCAGTCTATCTGCAACCAAATCCATGTCTGTGTCCTCGTCTGGAGCTGCCTGGTCTTCCTCTGGTAAGATGTATGAAATCAACCTACCTGACTATAGTGGATATTTTCAGGTTTAAATTTCAGAGTCAAAATTGAACCTCAAGTAGGCAAAGTGTTTAGAACAGAAGAGTGACTGATCATCTGTTCTGTGTCTACCTCCTTAAGGTAAGGAGATGAGGAAGGCTAAACTCTCGCGGAGTCGATCCCTCAGCAGTCAGCCGACAACGTCCAAACCCGCCAACTCAGACAGACCTCTGTAAGACTTTTAAACTTCCAGTTAATACCAGTTACAGTTGCTTGTATCTCAGGGTCGTGTGTGTGGGGTGAACTGGATGAGATACAGTACATTGGCCCATTGATACTACAGATGTTGTACTACACTACTGTGATTCAAAGGGAGATAATCCAGAAGGCAAACATGTGCTCAGGGTCCCTAGGTAATAACTGAAGGAATGAAATGGTCAATCCAAGTAGCTGAGACGAGTTTCCTCCGCAGAGCATCAGTGTTTGATTGTTTGTTGTGTCTTGTTGCTTTTCTTCTTTTGTCTCTCCTCTATCCACTCACCCCAACTGGTCAAGGCAGAAGGCCACCCACCAAGAGCTGGGGTCTGTCGGAGGTTTCCTCCGTTAAAGGGAGTTTTTCTTCCCCACTGTTGCCAAGTGCTGCTCAGGGGGATTTGTTGTTTTTTTTTTAAAACCTATAATAATAATAGTAAGGTCTAGACCTGACTTTGTAAAGTGTCCTGAGATGACTTTTATTGCCATTTGGCACTATACAAATAAAACTGAATTTAACTGAACTGGAACCTCATCAAATCATACACAGCAAGGGCCACAGACCATATGCAGTGAAGACATTTCTCGGATGGGTCACTGACAGGTACTGCACCTAGCCAAGAAATGATGAATCACTCGGTCAGTTTCATTTCAGTTTCCAGCGTGGAGAGTCTGCTAATGCTGAGATGACACAGGAAGAATGTCAGTTCCTTAAGCTAGTGAAAGAACCCACACAGATGGTCACTACTGTATCAGACTGCCTCTGAAAAACAAAGACAGAAATGCCTGATAACAGATCTGTAACAGTGCCTTACAGTTCTCAAAAGGAAGTTTCACAAGAACCCAGGCTTTCACATGGAGTACAGTGAATTTATGAAACAGCTGTTAGAGAAGGGATATGCTACTAAGGTACCTGAAGATCAACTTGCCATCACCGTTGTGATGGCAGAGTACAGTTTAATTCTCATCATGGGGTATACCATCCCAGAAAGCATAAATTAAGAGTTGTTTTCAACTGTACTGTTTCATACCAAGAAGTATCACTGAATATTCTACCCTTCAAGGTCCCGACCTTACCAACAAACTCACTGGAGTGCTGGCAAGGTTCAGGAAATAAGCAATAGGCATGATGGCAGATATTGAATCCATGTTTTATCAAGCTCAAGTGCCTGAAGAGTACTTGGATCTGCTGTGGTTCCTGTGGTGGCAGGATGGTGACCTGAAGTCAGAACCAGCAGAGTACACAATGTGCACTTGGTTTTCTGATTACGGGGTTACAGTAATGACAAGGACAAAGCAGAGGCGGAGCCAAGAGGAGCAGGGGCCCAGGGCTACCCTCAGTCTGGCCACCCCTCACTGCACAATATTTTGGTTCGTTGATTTTCCTTCATGGGGAACCATTTCTCTCTTGCTGCAGTTCCCATGGGGATGCTTTTAAAAAGCACACAACTAGTTGCACTGCCCCTCCCGTCTCACCTGCAGCCCAAGTTTGAGAGGACATAGGACACAGGACACATTTTGTAGCAGAGTTCTGCTGATGTAGGATAAAACCAAAGTCACTCATGGCTGTATACGTTGAAAGACATTTCACTGAGAACAGTGTTGAGCTTTATCTTTGGGTATTTTATCAAGCTGCATGTTCAAACGTATGAAAGGTTAAGGTATTCTTAACGTTTCTTGTTTTGTGTTTCAGGAAAGTTAAAGAGCTGAGCAGTACATCTGGACCTGGGAAGTCCTTGTTACAGAGCAAAGGTACCACCTACACCACAACAATCAAAGATCAAGTATCAGTTTTCAGGACTACTGTCACAGTCAGGACACTCCATGTCATAGTCTTTATTCTTCTTGTGTTTTATAGAGGACTCGAGGACTGCCCACTTTACCATGGCAACTCAGTCCACCTCCTCCATGCCGGTCCTGATCCGCAGCAACACAACCAGCCTCTTGGACAGAGCCAGTCCACTGGACCACAGAGACCAGAGAACCAGTACACTAGATCACAGAACCAGTAATATGGACCACAGGAACAATATGGTGGACCACAGAACAAGTACAACAGACCAGAGAACCAGTACCTTAGACCAGCGAGATCACAGAACTAGTGCCATCGACCAGAGAGACCAAAGAACCAGTACCTTGGAACAGCGCAGTAAAACGATGGACCGGGGTTGTGGGGTAAAGGATAACCAGTCCAGAAAGCTGTCAATGTGAGTCTTTGCTAAAGTGCTCTGCTGATAAAACCCTTTGAGTTAATGGTCACATATGGTTTTTTTTACAGGTTTCACAGATTATGACCCAAAGACCCCCCAGGCCAGGTGCAGGAGTGGCCCCCAAATTGATCAAATCATAGGAGCCTTCATGGATCAACATTTGCGTCACCGGAGGCAAACTGGTCTCCGGTGACACAACAGGTTCCCTCCTTGAATTACTGTTGTCATTCAAAGAGGGAACCTGTACAAAAGCACCTGGATTCCTTTCATAATTCAAAATGGACCCAATGTTTTGGTCTTTGTAGCTGCATTTCCACCTAACAAGTGGCAAAACCAGTACTTTGCCTACATAACCTCCTAGGCTGACACGGACCATCCTACTTTGCTTTTCCACTGTATTTTCCCAGTGTTAAGAGGAGGGAGGGGCTGCGCTCCTCTCCCAGCTGAGCAGAGGATGTCAAAAGCAGAATTAAGAAATCCAAGATAACAAGACAAAATGAGGCTTGACCTAGTCAACTAGGTGCATCCTGGCTTAATGTGTTTCATGAAGGCAAAGCCAGGTTGAAGTGCAGCTAGGTGAACCCAGGTCTGAGTAAATCCGGATGAGTGTGCATTCACGGCTTTCTTCAACAGACCACAAGGTCAATCACAGATTCACTGATGCCGACACAGAAACTGTGTTCCATTTGGCCATGCTGGTGTTAAGTAGTGCCCAACTGGCACTGTGCTGGTCGGATTAGGGTTAACGCTTTGGAACCGTTATCTCTTGGGTCACTCTTGGGCCACACCCAGGTGGTACCAGCAACTTGTCTACTCACTCATTTCATTTTAACTGCAAAGCCACTTTTACCTTATTCATCATTAAATCAAAATCCATGTTACACTACTTTTATGTTTAGCTTCATTATCCTTCATTTCATTACAACTCATTAAGCAAAACATACTAAGAACATCATATAATCATCGTTTAATGATTAGTTAAATTTCCTACTTTATGCCTTTATATGTTATATGCCTCTTGCCGTGTTCCTTCTTGTTAGCAACTTCTAAAGTCGATAAATCCACAGCAAGTAGAGCTTAACTCATAGGCCTATTTTGGGTAACTGATGTCTTGACTATGAAATCAAAAAACAAAAAAGCATTGGTTTCCAATTGGAGTGACTGCTGCCAGAACAGATAAGGCACCAGGATTAATCAAGCCTGGCTGTTTGCCTGGTCTGGAGCAGACTGGCTGCAAAGAGTAAAGCTACATGGTCATTTATGTGCCACTGCTTTTGTGAAACCGAGTCATGGCTAAATTAATCCAGGATAACTGGAAAATCCAGGATTAATCCACTATCTAGGTTTTGCAAAAGATCACTTAAATATAAAACTTTGTGTTTTCAGTTTTTATTAATGATTCATTTTATTTTGTTTTAAATTGACAGAAACAGGAAGTCAAATTCTTTCAGCGTCCAGTCGGGACGAGACTGAAGGTTATGTCATCATACCTCCACCAGGCCATCATCCAATCAGGGAACGGTTTTAGGACATTACCCACAATTCAACAGGACATCATCTCTGCCTTACAGTACTGAAAAGAGACTTCTGTATCTGAGCACTGTGTATTCTAATGATTCATCCTGTCACCTGACCGGTTCAGTAAACTTCAAACATACAAACTGTTGCTGTGTTCTTACTGGTTGGTGGTTTCAGCTGCTGACATGATTGGTTGGATAAATGCTGAGGCTATCTTCTTTGTGTGGCTTGAGTGCAAGCATGTCAGAGGTTTGATGGCATCATGTGTTGGTGAGCTGCAGAGAAAAAACTTTTTACCATTTGGGGGAAGAAATTATTTTAATGTTTGGGATGCAGATGGTTTTAAAGAGTACTACATATTTAAATACAGCAGCAAAAAAAGTCACAAGTATTTTTAGGCAGGAATACTACAGTACACAGAGTATGACATATGTCATGCTAACATGCTAAGTTGTCCTAAAAGTCCAGCTAAGGCTGATGGGATATTGTTAGTCTGTCTCAACATGTTTCAGTCTTGTTTAGACCTGGTAGGTCACCTTTAGAGAAATGTGGTTACACTTGTAACTAATGAATTAACGTCTCCATCAGAAGGTGAACCTTAAGCTTCATGTTTCAGTGTCGAGGAAGATATTTACATCCCACACCTGACAATGCTTAAAACTACCACATTATGATGAGTAGTAGTAATTCTGTAAATTGCAGTAGTTTGTAGTTCTGGTTTTCCCACCTACTACTAGCACTCGTGATGCTGTAAAATCTCAGATTTTTGCAGATTTTGCTGTCGAGCCTCAGCGGGGAAAAGATTATAACAAAGAAGCTGAGCTTTTATGAACACCGTGTGAGTTGTTTGATGCACCTTTAGTTGTGCACCACTGTGGCTATAATGTCACCTCACAACCCCACAGGTGTAGCATCTCTCTGAAGCGGAACTTAGTCACTGTGCTACTTTGAACTTTCTGCTAACATGCTGATGTTTAGCAGATATAATGCTTATGTTTATCATGTCAGTTTAGCCTATTAGCATGCTAACATTGGCTAACTAGCAGTAAAAGTGTACAGGTGAAGCTGATAGAACATCATTAGTTCTGCAGGTATCTGACCACAAATTAAAGTACTGAACATATTTAAAATGTTAATCTTATGATGGTGCTAGAAAAAAATCAGGAGCAATGAAATCATAGTTCATCCTGAGGGGAACATGAACCATATTTCATCACAATTACCTAATGGTTGCTGAGATGTTTCATTGGAAGGTGAGTCAGAGGCTAGAAACTAGCGTCAGAAAAAAGTAAATGTAATTTAAGGTACCATAAATATATTTTGTTTTCCTTTTAAATTTTCTCAAGACGTCTCAGACTGATCTCCCAAGCCCTAGGGGGTCCCTACCCTCAGGCTGAGACACCGGACTAGAGGACAGTGAGTGGATTTTCTCTAGAAGTAAACACTCGAGACAATAGAATAACACTAGAACAACAACAAAAAAAACTGCCTGTGTATCTTTTTAACTGTTTGAATGTAAATCTGACAGGTGTTAGTCGGGTGGGTGGAACCTCTCAGGTGAACTTTGTTGTTTTATTTCTTGGTGGGGTCAACGACGCGACCCATGAACAGCAGGCTGCTGGTGGGCTGCCAGTAGATGATGAAGATGAAAGGTCTGTTGATGGTCAGTCGAGGAGGAAGAGTAGAGAACACGCTGCCTCCACCTCCTGTGGTGATGTCGCTGCTCTCATCAACAGATATGATGGATTTATGAAGCACCTGAAGATAAACACACAAACAGTTCAAAAGGAAATAAATAGTTTGTCTCTGCATTATGCAGGACAGAGCTTTCCACAATACCAAAAACAAATACAGAAATAATCAAAAACTTTTTTTAAAGTAAAAAGATGATCAGATTTTATTTTAAAGTTCAAAGAAAAACAAATGAACACAAGTTAGACCACACATTTTAAATTTCTCACAATCTTAAGAGATATTGTTCCAGTATTTTTCTCTGGATAACAAAAGTTAGCAATATTTTTCACTGTTGAGTGCTAGATGAAACAAAACCCTTCACTCAAAAAAAAAAACTCCTATAAAAGGTTTTTCTTGTTAAATCAAGGTTTTTCCCCATCAGGAGAACCTTTAATTTGATGTGTGAGCTTCTTAACTTACCTCTGTCAGTTTGGGGCCTTTAGCCCCGCCCATGTTACTGATGTCAGCATCGTCCTGAAACACCTGAGTGATGTCAAGAGTTTGCAGGACGTCA